TGGGGACAAAACAAAACAAGAACAACAAGAAAAAAACTAAACTAGTCTCTGAAAAGGCTAATACAATAAGGAAAACCTTTGGCAAAGACCATTCATGAAAAAATAGAAAAGATGAAAAACAAATATAGAATGAAAGAATAAGAAATAACACTACATATAATACATTAGAAATAATAAAATATTATAAACTATAGCAATAAATTTGAAAACCTAGGTGAAATACATTCCTAGAAAAATAAATATCAAAATTACCACAATAAGAGACCTCAAATATACCATTAGCCCCAGTGTTATTCAGTGGAGAGGTGGTGATAACCCCAAAAAGCCTCAAACCAAGATAGTTTTGTGGATATACTGCAGTTCATAGATCATGTAATTTCTATATTTAAACATTATTTCAGAAGATAGAATAGGGAAAGCTGACCTATTTTCTTTACGATTTATTGTAAAATCTGTCTACTAAAACATGATATAAATTTTACTGGAATAGAAATTTTAGGCATCACTTTGAATCAAAGGTCTATAAAACCTAAGTGAATATCAGGCTAACTAAATTTGTTACATCAAAGTGGGGTTTATACCAGGAACAGGAGATGGCTCGGCTTTAGGAGGGAAAGGGGAAAAAAGTCACAATTTTCCCAGTAGGCTTTTGAATATAGTTCAGTACCCACTTATAATAAAACCTTGAGAAATTAAGAATTGAAAAGAACTTCCCCAGTCTGAAAGACACTGTCCAAAATCTACAGTGAGAATGTGTTTAATAGAAAACTTAAGGAGCCTTCCTTGAAGGTGAGGAACCAGAGATGGCTTGCCATTGCCACTGCTGTTCAAGATAACACCAGAGGTTCTGCCCAAGGAAGTAGAAGAAGAAAAACGAACCAGATAAAGATGGGGAGCAAAAAATATAAAAATTATTATTTGGAGATGATAAATTCATATACATAGGAGAATTAGAACAACTATTAGCAAAGCTGCTCAGAAAGAAAAATATTTTAAATAACTTCAAAAATCACAAAGGAGGGCCAGAGATTTAGCTCCATGGTTCTGCTGCCTGCCTCACAAGCACAAGGACCTGAGTTCAATCCCTGGTACCAAAAAAAAAAAAAAAATCACAAAGTAATAAAAAAGTTTATCATCCTAAACATATTAAATACCATAAAAAGTGAATAAAAGGAAATATTCTGCTCCTGGATATAAAACTTTATGTTATAGAGGTGTCAGTATTCATGTGGAAAGTAAATATCTACTGTTAACTTAGGATCTGAAATGGCCATCAAGAGACCTGGTCCCCACCCCGTGGTGCTGCTGTGAGGGGTGGAACCTGTAGGAGGTGGGGCTTAGTGGAAGGCAGGTAGGTCATTGGGAACATACCCTGGACCCTAGCCCCTTTCTTTCTTTTTGCTGCCCAGCCACCATGAGGTAAGAACATTTCTCCTCCTCGAACTCCTACCACAATGTTCTGCCTCACCACAGGCTCTAAAACAATAGGCCTTAACAACCATGAACCTCTGAATCCAAGAACCAAAATAAACCTTTCCTCCTCATAAATTGACTTTGTCAGGTATCTTGTTACAGTAGTGCAAAGCTAACACATCTGGTATCCAAATGAATTTGAAAATGAAAAGCAAAAAAGGGGATCACCCTACCCCAGATCATTTTGCAAAAACAGTGATTAAAACAGTGTGGTTACTGGCAGAGGAACAGCAGACTGACAAAGTGAAAGCCAAGTCCAGGAACACCAAAGCATATACAAGAAGCTGGGTTTTGAGTGAAATATCTTCACAAGTCAGGAAAAGATGGACTTTTGTTGTCACTGTTACGTGGTGATAGAAAATTGCGTTAGTAGAAATATGGAGGGAGTGAAATAAAATCATATCCCTATCTCACCATGTTAAAAAAATCCAGAAAAGAATAAAGATTTAAATGGGAAACTCAATAGATTAAAAACCTAGGATAACTGAGAATTTGGAGTGGAGAAGATTTCTTTAGCAAGATAAAGTTTTGATGGAAAATCAGACTGACTGGTCTGTCTACATCAAACTGGGAAAACACTAATGATGAGTAGCTGCTTTTAAGTTTCCGTCTCTATGATGTCCTTCCTGCTCCACACTTACTGGGGCAGTCACAAGAATGTGGTCAGGTCTCGTGTGTTACCTCATTGGAGGTGAAGACAAGCGCTGAGATTTGGGCAGAGGGAGGTGTGCAGGTGACTGCAGCAGAACAGGGAGCCCTGAAAGTTTCTTATTTTCTTGGACCGAATTGGTTCTGTTTTCAGGGATTCAGACTTGTCTATGGAGGAGCCTCTTACCGAGGAGTCTTAGATACAGGGATAGGGAGCCGAGAGAGACCAGGAAAACTTAAGCAGTCAGGCTGGATTGTTCTGTTGCTGCCCACACTTTTAGGGTGACCATGGATTACCCTAATGCAAGAGATGGCTGGTCCTTAGTTCCTCACAACCAGTCCTGACTGAGCTCTAGAATCATGCCCAGAGCTCATTAAAAAATAAGTCACAGGGCTCCACCCCGATACGCTCTGATTCAGGAGGCATGAGGCAGGCAGCTCAGGAATCTTCATTTGACCAGCTCCCAGAGCTGCCCAGGGCTGGACCTGCCAAGCTGGATCACCTTTCCAGGGACCAGAGTCAGAGCCACTCAGCTCCTAAAGTTGTAGAACTGCCTGGGCTGGGATGTGGATGGGTATGCAGCTGAGATGTGCCTGGGCAGGATGGGAAGTGCAGTGGCTTGGGAGGACAGCCCAGCCAGGCAGAAAAGGAGTTGTGCCCCTGATGTGCCTGCTGGAATCAAACTCTCTTCTTGATGTTCACTTTCCCACCTTGGTCCTGATCCTGCACATGGGGTTGTCCCCCACCTGCCTCCTTCACCAGCCTGGGAGCTGCTAGAGGGCAAGAATCTGGCATTCATTCACTCATACATTCATTTATTCCACAAGTATGCATTCAGACATTCATGTGCTAGGAGCAGGCTCTGACAGGGAACGAGGACCAGTCAGCCCTCTGAGCTCTCCCAGTCTAGAAGGGAGGGAAGCAGTGACACCAAGAGGCTCTGATGAGGTGTACAAAGCACAGTGACTGGAATCCAGCAGGCACCTAAGAGGAACACTTGTCCTCTACATGGGAGACCTGGAAAGGCTTCCCGAAAGAAATGAGGTCTGAGATGGTGATGAATGAAGCAGTCAGAGGAGAGGGGGGAAGATGGTTTCAGACACCAGGAATGGCATGGGCAAGTCCTTGGTGGCAATGGGAGCAGTCAAGGTGGCTGGACTGTCATGAGGGATGAGGCTGTGATGTGACACGAAGCCCCCTCCAGGCCTATGTCAGGAGTCTCTACTGCAGTGAGGGAGCAATGAAAGGGTCTCACCTCTCACTTTCCTGGCTTCCACCTTGGGATCTGGCCCAGGGTGCTACAGAGAATGTAAGGTGATTGGTGTCTTCTCCTACCTGAAAGGACTGGCTGACCTGGGCTCATGGCCACTCCCCCATTATTCCTTCCCCCATTGCTTCCCTTGCTTCCTGTGGGCTGGGTCAGCTCCCATTTCAGGGAACCAGGTAGAATTTTCCCTCAGCATCTGGAATATTAACTTTAACTAATGGAATATTAATATTAACTTTAACATCTGGAATATTAATATTAATTAATATTAACTTGGCGACTCTGCCAAGCTGGAGAAACAGGCTGGAAGAATGACATGGTGTCTCGGAAGTCTCCTCTGCCTCTCAAGGCAGTCAAAAACTGTGCTCCTAAGAGAATCTGATTGCTCTATGCCCCACTTTGAGAATGGCTCTCCTCCTGAGCCAGCTCTGGGTCAGGTGTGAGTTGGAGCCTTCAAGGTAGACCCAGAGCCAGCCTGCTGCCTGGCACCTGGTGGGTATGCAGGAGATGTGTGACCTATATATGCCCAGTCCCTGGACAGTCAGTGTCCCTGGCCCCCAGATGGGGGTCAGGTTCTTTCTCCATTTGGGTGGTCCCAGGCCCTGATCAGTATGATCCCAAGCTGGCCCCATGCTCAGGGGACTGCCATGAGTGTGGCCATTGCAACCATTTATTTTACTGACCTTTATTTTGTGCCAGGAACTCTGCATGCCCACTCCTATGTCGCTTGACCTCCCCATAAAAACTTCAGGGGAGAGAACTTTAGACTGATGTGGAGCTTGAGACTCCTGCAAGAGGTGAGCACTCAGACTTGTTATACAGAGGATGGTCACACACACCACCCCCACTCACCCAGCCCCAGGGGCTGGAGGTTGTGACCTAGAGGTAGTTACTTGACTAGAGGCCCCTCCAGAAGGGGTTACACCCTGGGAGCCAGGGTGGGGAGAGGAGGTGAGGCCCCAAAGGCACCCCCTCCACAGCTGCCACTGACAACATCAGCTCCTTAAAGGTAATCACAGTAGGTGGTGACATTTCCTAATTTTTTCCTTCTGCTTAGCCAGTTTTTGCACTTACCAAGTTTTCTACAGAAACTATTACTTATATCATTAAAGTAAGATGATGGAATTTACAGGAGGAAACACAGGTGGCATGGTGGGGGGAAATGCTTTGGCAAGGAAGGCGGGGCTTACGCATATGCAAACAAGCAGTTCGCAGCCTTCTCCCTTTCCCCTCCTGACCCCCCACAGCAGGGCTGGGGGCCCTGTGGAGGACAACACTGCAGAGAGCCTTAGCACACCACCCCCTTCAAGTCAAAGCAGGCCCAGAACACCCACACATGGGCCTCTACTGTGCCATCCTTGCCCCAGTTGGTGCTGCTTATTTGCTGCCTGCCCCCACTGGAAAGTGCACTCCTTGAGGGCAGGGATGGCTGTGAGTCTCCAGGGCCGGGTGCCCAGGGGGTGCCCTTGTGACTGTGGGGGCAGGTGAGGAGGTGCCCATGTTGTGGAGTGGGGACATGCCAGGCTACCCGACCGGACTTGCCGGGCCTCCTGCTTGGTTCCCAGGGGCTTGTGGCTGTGTCTAAATCCCTCTTGGGGCCTCTGTTTTCAGATCCACTTTCCAGATGTGGAGCGGGTCGAGTGGGCCAACAAGGTAAGGCCACAGGCGGCGTCAGGAGGGTTCAGACTTCAACCTCACTGAGCCTTGGCCCATGGGCCAGAGGCTGAGTTATCTGTAGTAGCCTTGATGTCTGTGGCTCTGATCAAGGCCCTCAGTCCCTGTGATGCCCATGCTGGGGAGGGGCAGGGATGGCCCTCTGCTGCTAGAGTGGCAGCTGGCACCTTCCTTTTGTTCACCAGGTGGCTTTCTCCCCCCCCAAAACACACACACACACACACACACACACACACACACGTATATATGTATGTATATATTTTCCCACAGAGGAAAGGTTAGAAAATAGAAGCACTGTATAGAGAAAAGAGCAGCCCTCCACTGGCTCTCCAGCCAAAATCAGCTCCTTCATAAGGAGAGGAAGACACTTAATTAGACAACAGCTCTGGCTTCTACCTGGTTCCCAGCCCAGATGCACCACCACTGGCTGTGCAACCTCTGGTAGTTTGCTTAACATCTCTGAACTGGTTTCCTTATCCATAAATTGGGAATAATTATGGTTCCCACCCTGCCACATGGTAAGTACAGAGGTTATTAATAGTCATTATTATGATTGCCGTTACATCATCCAGGGGAGCTCCCCTTGAGCTCTGCTGCCAAATGCCCGAAAGGCATCACTTTTGGCCCTCCGCCAGCAGGAACCCCCACTTCACAGATGAGAAACCTGAGTCCTGCCCCTGCTTGGCCTGCCCATTCCTGTGAAGGCTCTCCTGTAGTCCCCACGAACAGTCTTCTGACTCAGGACTTCAGTGCAGTCCTTGCCCCCCTGCTTAGCCCATAGCAGGAAGGACTTAGATTAGGTAGAAGAAAGGACTTCTGGACAGTTGTCGATCTCAGGTTGGTATCTCATAGTCCCAGAAATATCATTGCCAAGTGCATCAAAAGCCATCCCCAGCTTCTGAGTAAAATGTGGAGGAAGGAGGTTGCTGCTTTAGTAGCCATACCCCTTCTGTGGATCATTGCAGAGCCCAGGGTCCCTGGGGCAAACCTGGTAGAGTTCCTCTTGTGTGGTGCTGACCAGTGCAGGCTCACCAATGTCACCTTGGACAGAGACGTTGAGCAGGTGAACCACACATGCAGGTGCACTCCAAAGGCCCTGGACAGTGACACTGACTAGGCAGGAAGGTGGATTTGAAGGGTTTCAGAGGAGGGGAGGACAGTTAGGCTCCTCCAGTTATGGGTTTGAAAGAGAGGCAAAGTGGAGGGAGGGGCATCTTTAAACTGAGGCCCATGTCCATGGGGAAAAAGAGGACAGCCCTGCACACCCCTCTGCATCCCATCACCCATGGCCTCCGCCTCTTCCTGCTAGAGCAGAAAAAGGACAGGAGTAGTCAAAATGAAACCCAAATAGTCTATAGATCAGTTTAAAATGTAGCAGTGTTAATTCCTTAGTTTTGATCAGTGTATACTCATGCACCATGTAGCAACCTTTTCTTCAACAACAGACCACAGACACAAGGGTGATCCCTTAAGATTATAATGGAGCTGAGAAATTCTAATTGCCCATTATTTGCTCTGTGCCTTTTCAGTTTAGGTACACAAATACCACTGTGTCACAGTTGCCCACAGCATTCAGCACAGTGACATGGTGTACAGGTCTGTAGCCTAGCAGTGGCAGGCCATGCCATCTAGGCTTGTGTAAGTACACTTGATATTTGCACAGTGACAGAACCACCTAACCCTGAATCTGTCAGAACGCTGTGTGTTGTGATTATATAAGATTCTGATATTAACAGGAACTTGGTCCTGCACATTCCCAGATCAGCATCATGACTCATTCTGCTACAGAAGTTGGCCAAAGGCTGCCTTGTCTGACTGCTGGAACTTAAATCCACAGCAAAATTTAACTTTTCTGTAACTTTTTCTTAAACCTTTGTCACCTGCTACTTTTTATGTAAACTACAGTGTAGAATGAGATTATGCACCATTGCACCATACAGCTTCCTACTGTTAAATTTAGCAAATGAGTATTTCCATGGTGCTCTGCAAAATAGAACCAAGCCTTGGGGTCCTAGATATTTGAGAGAGAGACAGGTAGGTGGGTAGAAGGGGGCAGACAGGGAACTGGGTGCTGCAACATAGGGACCATGGGGTCCCAACCCTGAGACCAGGCTGCAGAGACTCAGGACTGTGTCCTGGGCAACGGCAGGTCTGCAGTCAAGGTGCAGACCTGACCTCCAAGGGCTTCTTCCTATCCCTTTCAGATTATTGCCCAGATTTGGCCCTACCTGACCATGATCATGGAAAACAAGGTTCGGGAGAAACTGGAGCCCAAGATCCGAGAGAAGAGCACCTACCTAAGGACCTTCACCTTCACCAAGCTCTACTTTGGACAAAAGGTCAGTGCGACCTTGGAAAGGTGAGCCTGGGCTTGCTGTGTAGCCTCTTCTCCAGCCTCCCCACTACCGAAGCCTGTCACCTAACCACAAGGATCCCACTGGACCTGAGGGGCATGATCCGCTGCCCTGAACTCCCTAGCCTAGGTCAGCCCTCACCCCTTGTCCCCACAGTACCGACTCTCCAGCTTGCCAGGAGCCTGAGTCAGGGACTAGAGGGAGAGATGGCAAGCAGTTCCTTTCTTCTTAAGCAAAATTTTGAAAACAGGCCATATTGGTAGCCAGACAGATGCAGGATATATCTGTACAGATATAGTAGCTATATCAGGTGTCAGTTGGACAAGTTCCCCTTCATGATTTGCAATAGTACCATAAAGCAGTTTGGAATTCTCTGGAGGGTTCTGGCAGTCAGTAGAGTCAACACTAGTTCTGTGAAAACCAATGGTTGTCTGAGGATAAAATGCTCCATGGCCAAAGAAACGTGTCAAATGTACTTAATATCACAGTCCCTCTTCTAGACTGAGCTTGGTGTTTTGTCCTCTGTGCCCCACTCCTTTGGCCCTGATGTGCTCATTGATCTTAGCCTTATTTTGATCATCCAAAATTCATTGCCAGGCATATGATGACATCCAGTGCCCAGTGAGCCAGAGGCATTGGTATGCAGTGTGCCCTGGAACAAGCAGGGGTCGGAGTGCAGGCCAGCCTTCTGAGAGCTGCTGCCAGCCCTGCCCAGCCAGCCCCACAGGTGAGGTGGATTAGGCATGCCTCAGCCCTGGAGAGTCTGGTTTGTGCCACTCAGACTTGGCCAGGACTGGCTAGGGCCAACATCTGCTGGTCCACATATTGCCTCCTTATGTCAGTCACCTTTGACTTACTGAGCACATGCTGTGTGTTAGGCACCGTAGACCCAGTCAAGTGTGGCCGTGCCCTTGCCTTCAGGAAGCAGACACAAACTAGTGGTGAAACAGGGTGTCATATGTGTGCATGATGATGGAGGAATGCATGAGCTCAGGAGTGGAGAGGTGTCGGGGCTGTGTTAGTCAGGAAAGACTTCCCAGAGGAAGTGATCTCTTGAGTTGGCTTTTGAAGAATTCATTAGCCAGAGCCAGGAAGACTGCAGACTGCTGTGTTTAGAGCAGAGCCAGCTCAGCTAGCCATTCCTCTGCTGGTAGTGTCTAGAGGATGTGGTGTCACTGGCAAGTGATCATCAGGAATGGTTTTTATCATGTCAACAGAGCCTGCAGGCTGCAGGCTGGCCCAGTGTTCTAGCCCTGCAGGAGAAAAACCTGTCCCTGTCCTGGCCTTGCAAGTCCCTCTTGTCCTCCCCTGCCCACCTTCTTTCTGCCCTCTCGTCATCACATCTCTCCTCCTCTCTACTGTGGGTTCAGAGAAATCCCAGAACCCTCATAGGCTCAGCCAGCACCCAGTGCACTGCAGCACCCAGGAGAGTCCCAGCTCCCTCTGCAGTGGAGAGCTGGGCCGGTGACTTAAGTTTGCTGAGCTCCAACTTCCTCATGTATAAAAAAGAATGGACTTTTGAAAAAATATGTTTTATTAGGATCTGTTAGTTATACAGTGTATTGGGTTTCAGTGTGACATTTTCATATATGCAGGTAACATGCTATATATAATGTATTTTGATCATATCCGTAACCCTGTTACTTTCTCTTAAGCTCTCCTCCCCTTATTCCCTTCCTCTTGTCTAAGAATAGTCTCCCTGCTACTTTCATACCATTTTTTTTTTCCTTTTTAAATGCCCATATTTGCTTTTTTGAGTCTGGCTTCTTTCACTTAACAATGATTTCCCGTTCTATCCATTTTCCTGCAAGTGACATAATTTGTTCTTCTGTACAGCTGAATAATTCTCCATTATGTGTGTGTGACTTTATTGATTCATGTGTTGAAAAGCATCAGTTGCTTCAGCGTCTCAGAGCTGCTTCATTGCGTATCCTGTGCATGCTTAGCCAAGATGCCGGAGGAGACCCAGACACAGGACCAGCCCATGGAGGAGGAAGAGGTGGAGACATTCACCTTCCAGGCAGAAATTGCCCAGTTGATGTCACTGATCAACAAGACTTTCTACTCAAACAAAGAGATCTTCCTGAGGCAGCTGATTTCAAATTGTCAGATGCTGTGGACAAAATTAGGTATGAAAGCCTGACAAATCCCAGTAAGCTGGATTCTGGCAAGGAACCGCACATTAATCTTATTCCAAACAAGCAAGATCACACCCTCACTATCGTGGATACTGGGATTGGAATCACCAAGGCCAACTTGATCAATAACCTGGGCACCATTGCCAAGTCAGGGACCAAGGCCTTCATGGAGGCTTTGCAGGCTGGCGCTGACATTTCCATGATTGGCCAGTTTGGTGTGGGTTTTTACTCTGCCTACTTGGTTGCTGAGAAGGTGACTGTGATAACCAAGCATAACGATGATGAGCAGTACGCCTGGGAATCTTCAGCAGGCAGGTCCTTCACAGTGAGGACTGACACAGGTGAACCTATGGACTGAGGAACAGAGGTTATCCTGCATCTGAAAGAAGACCAGACTGAGTACTTGGAAAGAAGAATAAAAGAGACAGTGAAGAAACATTCTCAGTTTATTGGCTATCCTATTACTCTCTTTGTGGAGAAGGAACGAGATAAAGAAGTGAGTGATGATGAAGCTGAAGAAAAGGAAGATAAAGAGGAAGATAAAGAAAAAGAAGAGGAGTCTGATGACAAACCTGAAATAGAAGATGTTGGATCTGATGAAGAAGAAGAAGAAAAGGACGGTGACAAGAAAAAGAAGAAGAAGATTAAAGAAAAGTACATTGATCAGGAAGAACTGAACAAAATGACGCCCATTTGGACCAGAAACTCTGACGATATTACTAATGAGGAGTATGGGGAGTTCTATAAAAGCCTGACCAATGATTGGGAGGATCACCTGGCGGTGAAGCATTTTTCCGTTGAAGGACAGTTAGAATTCAGAGCTCTGCTTTTCGTCCCACGACGAGCTCCCTTTGACCTATTTGAAAACAGAAAGAAGAAGAACAACATTAAGTTGTACGTCCGGAGAGTTTTCATCATGGACAACTGTGAGGAGCTGATCCCTGAGTACCTGAATTTCATCAGAGGGGTGGTGGACTCTGAGGATCTCCCTTTATTTGTTTTTTTGTTTTGTTTTTGGTACTGGGGATCGAACTCAGGTCCTTGTGCTTGCAAGGCAGGCGGCGGAACCACTGAGCTAAATCCCCAGCCCCAGGATCTCCTTTTAAATATTTCCTGGGAAATGTTGCAACAGAGCAAAATTTTGAAAGTCATCAGAAAGAATTTGGTCAAAAAGTGCTTAGAATTGTTCACTGAACTGCCAGAAGATAAGGAGAACTACAAGAAGTTCTACAAGCAGTTTTCTAAGAATATAAAGCTTGGAATACATGAAGATTCTCAGAATCGGAAGAAGCTTTCAGAACTGTTATGCTACTACACATCTGCTTCTGGGGATGAGATGGTTTCCCTGAAGGACTACTGCACCAGGATGAAGGAGAACCAGAAGCACATCTATTACATCACAGGTGAAACCAAGGACCAAGTAGCTAACTCTGCTTTTGTGGAATGCCTTCAGAAGCATGGCTTAGAAGTGATCTATATGATAGAGCCCATTGACGAATACTGCGTGCAGCAGCTGAAGGAGTTTGAGGGGAAAATTTTAGTGTCTGTCACCAAGGAGGGCTTGGAACTTCCAGAAGATGAAGAGGAGAAAAAGAAACAGGAAGAGAAAAAGACACAGTTTGAAAACCTCTGCAAGATCATGAAAGACATCTTGGAGAAAAAGGTTGAAAAGGTGGTTGTGTCAAACCAATTGGTGACATCCCTGTGCTGTATTGTCACAAGCACGTACGGCTGGACGGCAAACATGGAGAGAATCATGAAAGCCCAAGCCCTAAGAGACAACTCAACGATCGGTTACATGGCAGCAAAGAAGCACCTGGAGATCAACCCTGACCACTCCATCATTGAGACCTTGAGGCAAAAGGCCGAGGCTGACAAGAACGACAAGTCTGTGAAGGATCTGGTCATCTTGCTGTATGAAACCGCACTCCTGTCCTCTGGCTTCAGTTTGGAGGACCCCCAGATGCACGCCAACAGGATCTACAGGATGATCAAGCTGGAGCTCAGTATTGATGAGGATGACCCCACTGCTGACGAAACCACTGCTGCTGTCACTGAAGAGATGCCACCCCTCGAAGGAGACAATGACACTTCACATATGGAAAAAGTCGACTAAGCTCTTCCGAAGAACAACTCGATGCTGCTCATTACTTTACCTTCATTCCCACTGATAATCTATTTTCAAGGGTTTTTTGTTAACATTAAGTCTGTATGGCCTGACAGCTGCTTACGGGGAAGATAAGATTTCTTTCTTCTTTTAAGTAATGCTGTGATACATTAGGCACTAAAGCAGAGCTAGCAGTGCCTTTCACCTTGGTTGTTCTAACAGGTTGACTTGTAACTTACTGTTAACTTCGTGAGGTCTAAGTGTATAGTTACCAGGCTGGATTCCTTAGTAGACCAAATCTTCTGTCTGAAGTGTTGAGCTATCTTGGTGTTTAAAGGAATATTTGCTACAATAGCTTGAGTTTTCCTCTTGTAGGATCTACTTTTTAAAACTTTTCCCCTATAGTTTCAATTCTGCATGTACTAGCCTTCTAGAAATAAGTTAAACAACTTGATGGCAGAAACTCCACAGGGCTTGTTTTCCAAAGAAAAGTATTATTTAGAGGAATAAACTAAACTTCCCCCAAATACTGCAGTGCTGTTGGAAGGATAATTTGAAACAAGGCCTGTGAGTGGGGATGGAGTGCCCAGGTCACCTGCTCTAAGAGGTAACAAATACAGGTAACTTTAAGTTTTTAAGAAAGAAAAAAAAAAGAAAGAAAAGCATCTAGGCCATTGTGGATTGTGCTGCAAAAAACAGGAGTATGCAGGTAGCCCTATAGTATGCTTTAAATCCTTTGGGCATATACCAAGGAGTGGGTAGCTGGATCATATGGTAGTTGTATTTTTAGTTTTTTGAGGGACCTCCGGCCTCACCAGCATTGTTTTTCGTGTTCTTGATGATAGCTATTCTGACTAGGGTGAGATGGAATCTCAGTGTAAGTTTGATTTGCATTTCTCTAATGGTTAAAGATACTGAACATTTTTATATACTAGTTGGCTGTTCTTCTTTTGAGAAGTGACCGTTCAATTCATTTGCCCTTTTTTTGATTGGGCTATTTGAGTAGTTTTTGTTTTGGGGGTTTTTTTTGGTGTTATTTGAGTTCTTTGTATTTTCTAGATATTAATCCTCTGTCTGAAGAGTAGCTGACAAACATTTTTCCCTGTTCTGTAGTCTGTCTCTTCACTCTGTTGTTTCCCTTGCTGTGGAGAAACTGTTTAATTTGATATAGTTTCATTTGTAGGTTCTTGTTATTTTCTGTACTGATAGAGTTCTATTCAGGAAGTCTTTTCTTGTGCCTGTTGTGAGGAACAAAACCCTCTCACCTTTGATCATGCTCAGCAGACAGATCAGACTGAGAACTGGGAGCTGCAAAAGTGAGACATTTTCTCGATCTTGCAAGAACGGGATGCTGGCCTTACAAAATAGGCTGACACCCCCACACCCCCAGAGCTGTTTCAGTGAGCAATTTAACTCCTAGCGTGCAATCCGCTGTGCCACCGCCCCCGCCCCCCAACCTGAAGTTTCTTTCCTCCTCTTCTCATTGGCTTGAGTACTGGGATGGGAGGGGATAATCTCCCGATGGTGGCTATCCCCTTAGCCCACTCCCTCTGTAAACTTTTGTGGGTTTTAAAAGCAAATGATTAAACTGCAAGGGGTAGCTTCTTAACTGCCAGTGCTTTTCTTGTCAGCATAGGAATTCCATGCTTAGTTGATTATTTACCTTTCTCTCTTTGTTTAGAAACCCTCTCAGATGCATGACCTCAGTCACATCCTCAGGCTACAAGACCATATCCTGAAAATAGACCACTTTATATATTTGTTCCTTACATCTGTTATTTCAAGTGTTTCCACTTGTTTGCTGTTTTCATCAAATAGCAGTTTCAGTTTCAGGCCATGTAGCTGGGTCTTTGATAATTTCGAATCGATTTTTGTACAGGGTGAGAGATAGGGATCTAGTTTCAAACTTCCACATATAGATATCCATTTTTCCCAGCACCATATGTTTAAGAGACTGTCTTTTCTCCAGTATATGTTTTTGGCTCCTTGCTCCAGAATCAGATGGCTGCAGTTGCATGGGCTTCTCTCTGGGTCCTCTGTTCTGTTCCATTGGTCCACATGTCTATTTTTGGGCCAGTACCATCCTGTTTTTGTTACTATGACTTTCTTTGTAGTGTAATTTGAAGTCAGGTATTGTGATGCGCCCCTTCAGCCTTACTTTTTTTGTTCAGGAGCACTTTGACTATTCTCGGTCTTTTGTGTTTCCATATGAATTTTACTACATTTTTTTTTTTGCTACTTCTGTAAAGAATGTCATTGAAATTTTGACTCGGATTGCATTGAAGGTATAGATGGCTTTCAGTGATGCAATTATTTTAGCAATATTAAGATTGCTAATTCTTGGGCTCCATGAACATGGGAGGTCTTCCCATCTTCTCTGTCCTCTTCAATTTCTTCCTCCAGTGTTCTGTAATTTTTATTGTAGAGGTCTTTCACTTCCTGGGCGGCATTGATTCCTAGGTTTTTGGGTTTTTTTTAAACCATTGTGAATGGAATTATTTTCCTGATTTCTTTCTCAGTTCGCTCTTGGTGTATAGAAAAGCTATTGATTTTTTAATGTTGATTTTGTATCCTGTTACTTTGCTGGAGTTTTTTAGGATCTTTAGAAACAGGATCATATCATGTATGAATAAGAATAATTTGACTTCTTCCTTTCTTGTTTATATCTGAAAGGACCCACTTTTGAAGGTCGTTTTGAGGCATAATCAGGCTTGGCCTGTGGGTGGCCTGTGTGAGCAGTGCCCTGCATTGCAGAGGGTAGACTCTAGGCAGTACCCCTTGCCGTGCTGTGAGCCTGGGCCACTCGGAATAGAGTGGATGCCTAAATGTGGCTGTCCCTCCTCTCTGTGGTGGGGGACTCCAGGCAGGCAGCTTTCCCTATAATCTGTCCCTGTAAATGAGGGTCTCGGTGCTAACTGAGCTTTTATGGTTGCTGGGCACCCCCCCCCCCCACACCTGCAGGTTACTCACAGTGCCCTGCCTCCCAACCCAGGCTTCCAGGGGGAGCCCTCTGAAGTGTCCATAATCTGAGAACTCTAAAACAAAAGAATATAAAGGGCCGGGGATTTAGCTCAGTCTGGCACTGTGCCTGCCTCGCAAGCACAAGGTCCTGAGTTCGATCCCTGGTACCAAAAAAAAAGTATATAAAATTAGCCAGGCATCAACACACATTGTAATCCTACCACTCTGGGAGGCTGAGATGGGAGAATTGGTTCAGGCAATTTATCCAGATCTTGTCTCAAAACAAACAGATGGCCTGGGGATATAGCTGAATATGAAGTATTTGGGTTCAATCACCAGTACCAATAAGTAAATAGTAAAAATGCAAAACTAGGACAAAAATAAATATTAAATAAATATAAAAAGCTCTGTGTGGTGGCACATACTTGTAATTCCAGCACTCTGGGAGACTGAGGCTGGAGGATCACAAATTTTGAGCCCAGCCTGGGCAACTTAGCATCTTGGTGAAATTCTGTCCCCAAATAAAAGATAAAAATAGGGCTGAGGATGTAGCTTAGTGGGCTTAATCTCCAGTACCACAAAAAACAACAAAGAATGAGAAAATAAAGTTACACATTTTAGGGCTGGGGATTTAGCTCAGTGGTACCACTGCCTGCCCCACAAGGGCAAGGACCTGAGTTCGATCCTCGGTACCAAAAAATAAAAAATAAATAAAGTTATACATTTTAAAAAGTTGGCATATCACAGACTACATGAAAATTACGTGATATTGTTAATTAACTGTTGAACATGTCCTTGTAATACTTTTTAAAAAAATTTTTGGCTCCATACTTGAGAAACTTTTCATGGGACAATGCATTTGTAAATACCAGTTTCCATGGAGTAAAAAGAAAGTTAATGAATCTTCCTTCTAGTGGGAATTGATTAAATTTTTCTCCAAAATTTTATTGTGGAAAATTTCAAACATACAAAAAAGTTGAATTATTCAGCAAACATCTCATACCTACTGTCTGAATTGTATAATTGTTAACTTATTGATATATTTATTATATATTCATGGTTCTATTCTTTTTTTAAAATGCATTTCAAACTATATAGCAGACATCAGTGAACATCACCCCAACCACTTTCCTCTTCAGTGTGCATATCTTTAGTCCAGATTCAAATAATAATAATATTGTGATACTGAGGATTAAACCCAAGGCCTTTGTTCTGAGCTACATCCCCAGCCCTTTATAAAAATTTTTATCTTCAGACAGGGTCCTGCCAAATTGTTAAATTGCCCAGGATGGGCTCATACTTTTGAGCCTCCTGTTAACACTTCACAGAGTGCTGGGATTGCATACCTGGCTCAAAATTTGGTTTTTATCTTTGATCCATGATAACCAGACCATTTGATGGGAAAAGAAGTGTCTGGGCAGAGCGGGATGGTTACGAAGAAAATAACCTGGGAACTATGGCTCCAGTCATGGGACACTTGAATCCTGAGGGTCAGATCCTTCAGCTGGGGACCCTGCCCCCTTCCCTTGGCCTTATGGGGCCAAGTCCTATTCATCCTACTATAATCATTTCCCATTTGAGGAACCCTCACTAAACCCATCCAGGCTAGGTTGGGAGATGTCCCTGAAGTCCTCAGATCCCCTGGGATAACATGGGCTGCTCCTTTTTGTACCCCCACCCTATTTTTCTCTGGATGCTCCCCTTCGCTCCTTGCCTTCCCCTCAGCCCAGGGTGCACAGAATAAGGTGCCCAGTAGATGACTGGCAGAAAGGGAGAGAAAGGAGGAGTCATACTCAAGAGAGGGATGGCTCAGGGGCTGAGGGTGTTTCCCTGTGTGCCTCAGCCTGGAGAGTATTGGTCATGTTTATTGTTGGTGACCAGGCCCAGTGCTGGCTGAGGGCTGGGGCCCTCCCTGCATGAGAACCTGCTGACCTGGCCCTTCCCTCATCTCTTCCAGTGTCCCAGGGTGACCGGAGTAAAGGCACACACTAACAAAAGTAACCCAAGACAGGTGACCTTGGACCTACAGATATGGTGAGCCTCCATCCCCTGGGGTCAGGTGGGGCCAGGTGTGCACCTCAGAGGCAGGGCAGCTCTGGAAGAGCTGGTATGAAGCCAGAGTGATTTAGGTTGCGAATTCCCTCCCAGGACCACAACTCCCTCCAAACTGGGGCACCAGAGCCTGGCTGGAGCTGGGGGAGGAGTGTCAGGAGAATAGATGGAGTGATGGTCCCAGGGAAGCCACCACTGTCTGATCCCTTGGCCTAGCCTGGCTTCTCTTACCCCATAGCAGCTGTGGGTTCCAAGGCTCCAGCCGCAGAGCTTTCTTGGAAGCCAAGGCTGGGTCACCTGGAAGGTCAGATTAGCCGATGCAGAGAGGATGTGGATAGAGGGAGAAGTGTAACAGGAGGATGAGGGGACTCGGATGAGATTCAGGGCTCTGTGGCACCTTGGGAAAATGACAGGGAGCCAAGACACATGCATGATTAATTCAGTGGGTTTGGGCATCTCTTTCAAGTGAGGTTCATAAGGGCTTGAGTCAGGAAGAAGATTCCATCCAGAAGTTCTCCCAGAGGTGTGAGATTGGAATTGTGTTTGAAAAGACAGGATCTACACCTGAGGGTCCAGAGTGTTGCTATTCCTTTCTGATGTCTCCTAGTTCCTGTCTTGATGCAGTGCTGTCCTTAGCTGGCATTGAGAACACACTGGAAAGGCAGGAGCCAGTTCTGGGACCACCTGTCCCATTCAGGGGCTAACCTCTAGTGTGTTGGGATGGTGACAGCCAATCAGGTACTCCTGGCTGTGAGGTTGAGCCACAGATCCATGTATAAATAGTAAGAGAACATGGAGGTCACCTGGCCCACTCAGACTCTCCTACGGTTCCCGTCTTCCCATCCTGCCTGCCCCTACTGAAGCGGGACTCAGGGTTTCTGTGATTCGTGACATCAGGCTCCTCTGCCCATGTCCTGCGGGTATGTGATAGCTGCCCTTTCCCTCCCCTTAGTCTTGTCCTTCAGACCTTTGACAGTCTTTCACCCATCCTGGCTTCCTGTGCCTAGCAACTGACAGAGCTACCAGCTGGAGTCAGGCTCCTGTTCTTGCAGCCCAAGGCCTTGTTACCTTTGCCTTCCTCCACCACCCTCAGCAACAATCTGGAGTGATGGTTGGATCTAAGCAAGGGGGGCGGCTCCTGTGTCCTCAGGGTGAGCACCTGGATAAACACAGCAGGGATGCAGCAGTGGTAGAGGTGTAATTACCAAGAGCCCCTCCTTTTCAATTGTCCCCAGTCACTGCCCTTCTGATCCCAGGTCAGACTGTGCCAGGGATTCCCAGGTGCCGGAGCCTGGGTGATTGCCTCAAAGGTCTGAGTCTGGGCAGAGCCTAAAAATTCTGGGGCTGTTGGGGTAGCCACATGCTGAGTGACACAGTTAGGCTTGGTAGCCAGCAGCCAGGACTAGGACTGTGTGTAATACCGGGCAAGCTTCCTACCCTCTCTAAGCAATTGGACCTTTTCCTTCCCTTCCCTTCCCTTCCCTTCCCTTCCCTTCC